ACTAGTGTAAAACCATTCAAACGGAAAAACCAACGGTCTAATCTATATAAAAACGAGAAACGAGAAACACGTATGAACTACATAAACAGACGACAACTACTATAATCATATTCCTGACTTAGGACAGGTGCAAACATTTGTGGTTTGAGCGCTTTTGACGAAGTTATGTCAAGAAACAGCTTCAGACCCAGCAAAATTAAAAAGGTTCATTTTCATTTTTAAGCAACTTTTGAATTTTATTGCTCTCCTGTAAGAGACAACCATTTGATTATTGGGGAAGGCAGGCAGGAGGATTTTAGAAATGTATATCCTGGCCTGGTAAGAGCTTGAAACAAATGATGTCACCCAGTACAGGATAGCAATGAATAATCTCCACACAAAATACAGGATTCAATTGTGAACAAAACTAAAAAAATAAAATACATTTAGCGCGGCTTCACCGCATGCGTACATGCGTAGCAACAAATGAAAATGAATAGTCAATTCGAAATAAATTCTCCTGACCCCTCTATCCTCCCAAAATATCAATTGGTTGTCCCCTTTTCCAAAATGTTTCAAATGACCATTAACGAAATAAACGTTTATCCATTAATGAACAGTATTGTACAGGCGCATAGAATCCAATAAAAATACAGTAACATGACAGAATTACGTTACATGACAGTTATTGTGCGGATTGTTTTTACATGGCAAACTAATAATAAATGACATTGTCCCCGGTAATTGCCCATTACTGGCCAACGACATTCAATAATAAAACATACCGTCTAATAAAAATGGGTTGATACGTCGTTTGCAGTATAAAATGCCGGAAATGAAAATACATGTTAATAAAGTACATATGATCAATTTATCCAACAAAAACCTAACATAAGAACTGTCGTTTTTTTCCATTTGTTTACTGATCATAGTAATAGTCTTTATTAAAATGTTATAAGGAAAAGGGCGAGAAGATGGATATTCCTAAACAAATCGAATTATATATTTATCTACACTTCCTGTCTCTCAGAATATTTAGTTTATATAAGAACTACCTTTTTTATTTGTTTACTACTAATAGACTTTATGTTATAAGCTAAATACGTTCATATCCGTAGATATTGGTATCTTAACACCCTGAAGTACCCCAACACACCATGAGGCAAAGCCGAAGGGTTTACCGGGTACTGAAGGGTGCAAACATGCCCGTATCTACAGATATGAACGTAGATAACGAATTTATCCCCGTCTTAGTCCGAATCGACGGCCATTGGCCAATCCAAATCCGAGAAATATTACTAAGCCGGGGATAAAAATTAATGATTAGGAATAAGGACGGACAGGCGAATAATCCTTAGCAAATCGTAAATAATATTTAGGTGTTTGTAAAAGATTCATTACAATTATGGGAGTACCTAGTACACCATGTTTTTCCAATTGCAGGCCCGTTTAACCAAGCTTTGCATGATCAAACTTAACTTAACGAACATATAATTGTTTAATTTTATTTGTTCTTGACCTGATTACAATATTTCTCCTTGGCGTTAAGCCAACTACAATCAATCGTAAGGTCATTGCAATATCGTATGTACCGATACCGACAAGTAAATATATCGACGGTGACCTTTTGTTGCTTACACCTATAGCTAAGTCATTTGGTCTCCAGTGGAAAGTTGTTTCATTAGCAACACCACATCAACTTTTTATGTAACCACCGTAGCTAACGGGGGCATTAAGTATTACCCTTGACCGTCCTTCCATCTGGCTGTCCGTCCCATTTTCGTTTGCGCACTCTAACTTTAGTTTGACTTACGCAAGTTTTATGAAATCAAGCGCAGTGACACCAGTTGCGTAGATACAGTAGGTATCATCTAATACGCATGCGTCATCAGTCATGCACTGAAATTATTTCCAAAGAACTGGACAAAACTGGCTATACAGATGTGGGATGTTTGACATGCAGTTACATGTCTAATGCGTTTATTTTGAGATAATGCTATATGCGGGTCTAGAAGGGCTTTACGGGTTAGAGAATACTGGGCATAAAACAAAGAGTAATAAGTGGCGGATCCAAAAAAGGGGGGTGGGTAGATCACCAACATCATAAACAATGTCATTTTTTTCACGATATGTATAGTATTTTTTGTTTCTTTTTCTTTTTTTTTGTAACTTTGTGTTGTATATTCTGATGTTGTGTATAATCATGTCTACCTGAGTAGTTTGTTTATATTTTAGTCAGAACTGCACAAAGTTCAAATAAGTGTAAAATTTGCTTATGATACAAAAATCAAGAAGATTATGGTCAACTTACCTGTTAACAAAGGACAATTTGTCTAAATATTATATTCCGTAGTTATTCAAATTCGGTTAAAATGATGAATAAATCCAGAACATCAAATCAAAGATGATGATTGCAACACGCTGTATATTAACTAATATGAAAAACCATTATCGGATAGACGTGGAATACTCCGGTAAACATGAAATTATTTAAATTATTGTAATATTGTAATGTAATATCAATTTACTCTTATTAGATATTCTCCCTAGATACCTAAAAACTAATATATCAGGGATACTTTGTGCAATGCTGTTCACTAAGTAAATTGTTAACAGCAATAGTTTGCAATAAAATATATTAGTTACGTTAAAAAAAACGATATGTATAGTATTTTTAATATAGAATCGCCCAAAAAATTATATTCATCGCTCGTGAAATACGGACTCCTGGATCCCCCGTGATAAAATGCAAAAAAGTTTTTAAAAATATAAAGAATAAAAAAGAATCCGTACGAAATATAGAGAATAGAAAATAATGGGCCATAAAATACCAACAAAAGCTTTGACATCATTTTAAAACCTTGCATTATTTATGTATAATGGCATTTAATTTGTTTAAGGATGTAGTCAGGTCAGGTGTTTTGTTTAAGAGATGGGAAAGCAATATATTTAGAGGCTGTCTGTTGTTGGTGACTGTATGTTGCCCTGATGATGTCTTTTTGGTTATCTTTATTTAAAATACACCACAAATCTCCTTTCTGTTTATATAAAAGAAAGGAACAATCAATTAAAACTTTAATACGAAGTTTCCTTAAGAAAACATATAATTTGTTTTCACATAGGTAGTCATGCCATATCTACTTATTGTGTATATGTTTCGCCTTCATATTGATTAGGGGTCCCAATCACAATGCATAGAAATTTTTAAAAATCTATTATTTCTCACGGGAAAGAACGCAAAATATCAAAAGATTATAGATATAAATCATCTATAAGTTATACACTGTATATAATCTAGTTATAGACGCGAGCAAAGTAAGAAATAGGTGCAATGTTGACATAAGACGATCGATTATGAAGCCAAACAAAGGAATGTATTAAAACGACTCTTACAATAAATCTATGATGATTGAAAACACCAAAAACAAGTAATGTATCAAAGACTTGTTTTTGTATTCCTAACAGAACCAAGATAATTGTGTCATTCATATATCTGTAAGATTCCTCTTTGCACGTGTTAAAAATATATTTTGATAACATAATAATGTTGACGACTACACATAGACGGATCCGGGGGGGGGGGGCTGTTTGGCCCGGGCCCCCCCTTTCGAAGGAAAAATTTGGTTGATTATATAGGGAATCACTGAAGCATGACTGGAGCGGGCCCCCCCCCCCCCCTTAGGTCAGTCAGCGCCCCCCCCCCCCCCCCCCTTAGGTCAGTCAGCGCCCCCCCCCCCCTTATGAAAAGTTCTGGATCCGCCACTGCTACACTATAAGAATGACTATACAGGACCATCAATGTTAAAGTGAAACTTATCACTCGGTTTTATAGATATATTAAGTGTTTTTAGATTTTCCGTATTTTTTTTTTCAATTCCCTTGGAATTATGTGCATTTTGTATCGTATTTTTGGTTTAATAACTCCTAAAAATAATAATTATGGCCTTGCATTCCTCAAAGAGGAAATTTTACTGGTCCGTATCAATATGTCCCTTGCATAGTATAAAGAAATATTTGAACAGATGAGCATTCAACGAGACTTTCTTTGTGAACCTGCAATATCCAAGTGGTAACTCACAGGGAACGACATAGCCAAGCTGGACTTGTTGATGACTTAAACGGCAAATAATGACTTAAACAGTTTGTTCTAAAAGTTTAAGTTCACAATGATCTCTATTGTTCAACAAGATTTATACCTTCATGCAGACCTGAAATTTTTTCATTTCATTATCTGCTTCATTTTCTATAAATATATAATTTCAATTTGTAACCCCATATCATATCATTGTTTGATTATATGTGCAATAAAAATTAATATATATATATACATATCTCATAAGATAAAAAGCAATATTTAAGATTATTTTTTCAATTTTTCATAATTCGACTTGACATTAACTCGAACTCAATAGGATTATTTTTGTGCAACGTCTTTTTTTATTTTCATGTCGCGCGCTTTCATGCTTGAAGCTCATTATTCACCGTTTTCATGCAGATTGGTAAAACAATCAACGTGTAAGCTTTTATTTTTTTTTTTAATTAGTGAACGAACTGGATAGTTACATCATGTACATAACAATATAGTGTGCTTGTTTTTTCCCCGTTATAATAGTAAATAGAGTGTGCGTAGACACAGTTATAACACATGACAGTTGTAAGTACATGTTTGTGTCCATTTATCGCAAATAACCACTATATGATCTATAATCGTGCGATCCAATAATTACCCATGACAAAACACATATATAATTCAATAGTGATAAATATAGCTTGTTTACATCGTGAGGCCATTTCAAGGGAGACCCAAAAATATATTATCCATTTATATGATTATAAATCAAATAGTTATCAAATAAAAAATACTACTAAATACGATCATTTAAACGTTATAGGTAAATTTTACTGGAGTAAATTTTATTGAAAATCGGGCTGCAACAAGTTTATCCGTTTAAAGGTTGCCTCTATGACTTCTATCTTTTGGTCGTTCTGATATTGTGACGTTTGTCAACACACATATATAAGGAGGTATCGTTCTTAATACAACGAGAAAAATAAACATTAACATCTATAACTTGGATTTAAGAATAAGAAAAACCCGTTACAATGAATTTTTACCTTCAAATTCTTCTGTTTTTCACATTAACGGGTAAGTGATTTCATCATTATTATTATTATGAAAATTTAAGAAAAGTTTGTAATAAATCATTTCAGTAGAACAAAAAGCAGAAAACCTTAAATTCGACAATGAGAATCGTTACTTTCAAAATGCTCAAAAGGAATTAGTATAATTTGTTTAATATTGTGAAGTATACAATTTCTATAGTTTGCGAACCTTTATCGCCTATCTCTTACAGTTAAACATTATTTTTTTCTGAAATGAAGATTTTACCAAACGTCACTAATTGTTGATAATATTTCTAGTAATGCTTAACGTAATTTGAATAATTTTGTTTACATTAAAGTCGAAAAAATACACGTAAATATGCACTAGATTGCCATTCAGTTCGTCGTTTTGTTTTTATATTGATCACATGTAGTTAATTCAAACATTTTTCTCTTTTTGCAGTACTAGCCTCATCACAAAGTAAGTTTGTTTATTTTCCTAACGTTTCTACGTATTTATACATTCTTAGTTTTATTTCTTCGTATTTGTACATCCCTAGCTTTTAGTGACTTGAAAAGCCCTTCATGTGATTTGATTTTTGTGTTTGATCTTTTTAATTATTTTACCATGTGATCAGTGGGACAGATCACTAGTAGGCTTTTTTTGGTAGTACTATATAGACCAAGATATGTTAGCCGTGTCAAAGAAGGAAAAAAAATGCCTCCCCCTCTTTTTCCCCCAGGGAACAAGAATAAAGAATAATATGGCAAAATAATAAAAAGAATGACTGTGAAAAATAAAAGAATTAGGTAAAAAATACGGATTACAATAATGAATGATGTACAGAATAACGAAATCATATGATAACCGATGAATTCAATAATATAGTACTGTTTATGAGAATTTTACAGAATAAGCGTTATTTTTGAAGATAAACAAAAATGATCCAAAAAAATAAAGAATACGGAAATGAAGGACTCTCGTATATCCTAAACTGTCTCCAAAGGTCGTCGTATAGCTGCTTAGATTACAAATGACCAGGTAGAATGTAGCAATGAACATTAAACGGTATTGGAAAATTAATAGGTAGCTCTACTGAAATGAAAATTATTCGATTTCGAATAATACTCTTATGTAAGCCTACTTAAATTTGATTTAACAATGATTGTTTTAGAAAATTCAATAGCTACTGTGTTGATAACATAAGATACTTTAGTGAATTTGTGATCCATGGAAATTTATTTTGCGATCACTGCCATTTTGTCGCTTAAATGCGTTATCGGCTTACTATAAATGTAAAAATAATTGATTTTGAAACCATGACATTAACCAGGTACGCTTGAAACCAAATATTTGAATTTTATTTTAATATATAAAACTTTTGAAAGCATTAAAACCTACAGGCAAACAACAGCCGTCTAAGGTCAACTTTGCCGGAATGATTTGCTTCTATTTTAAGATTGATTATGGCAGGATGATTGCCATAAATTGCTTGATAAATATAACTTGTTTGCATAAAAGAATCACGTTATTGACAGCCTACACTAGTTATATCTGGTTTAACTGTTTGGCGACAATGAAATAACAGAAATATTCCAGTCAATATATTATGTCTATTGTTATCCCAAACATTATAATAGTGACCATAAATGTCAAGAGGAAGTTGTTAAGGAAACATATATTTTACAAGTTATCGCCATATTGTTTCTGTCAATTAGGAAATATGACCCAAGATTAATTTGGCTATAATTTTTTCTTTATTTGTTCTAAAACTCTTTGATAAGTTTATTACTATCTACTTCAACTTTTTTGTTGGCGTCTTTGTCAGATTAATTTATATGTTTATTTGAATTCTTAAGTCAGTTGTGTTGTATGTTAACACAGTTTTGGCTGCTAGATCCCAATTATTGTCACATTAACCTATTTTGTCTGTTAAGCTTTTTTTCTGTACATTTCTACTTATTTATGCATCACTGGCTATTGCATATTTAGGTTCCTACTGAAGGATCATGTAAATAAAAACAATGCGCATTGTCAACAAGAAATTTATAAAGTGTTATTTTCCTTTACGAGCACTGGGTCGATACCACTGCGGGTGGACTGTTTCTCTCCAAGTGTATCGTCAGACCAGTAGTCAGTGCTTCGAAACTAACATCAGTTATAATTTTTGTTTTAAACATTACTGAGAAACTAAAGTTCCACTTCCCTCAGCCAAAGTTGACGATCGAAGATGAATTATGCCTTTTTATGTCCTTTTTTGTAGTAAAGCTTCTCACGTTTTTTAACAATCCTGGATTTCAAATGTTTTGTTATTAGCGTTCGGGTGAAGGTCAATCCAGAAAAGCGCTTGGGACGCACCAAATTTATAAAGTTTTTTTTTTATTTTTTTATGCTAAGAAGTGAAGTATTGGAATATCCATTGAAGACATCGTCCACCAATAAGAAATGGCCGTCACTATACAGATAAAAGTGATGTTAATCACCAACACTCAATAATCCAATCAATTAATATGGAATTTTGTTTCATTCTAAATTCATGGTGGTCTCTAAAATGTATTCACATCTTGTTTAAACCCAGGGGCGTGTTTTTTTGTTCTTCGGTAGTGAGCCAGAAGAGGTCCATTTCTGTTTTTTTTTGCATAGGGAAGATCTTCTGGCCCTCTTCCACCTCTTCGTTTTTGATAGGTAGTTTAGACGGCAGAGGCACATAGCAAACATGGCGTCGTTTAGTCTAAATGACATTAATAAATTTATGAATGCAGATATATTGGAATGTGAGCTGTGTTATAAACGTTTTTATGGTATGACAGTCTTAATAGGACATCCTTGTATGACGATAAGCTGGATAAATATAAGAACTACACGGACAATAAAAGTTAAGGGACGACTATTTGATATTCTAGGGAAGGGATTTTGATTGATTGGTGTTTAACGCTACTTTCAACACTAAGTTGGGCTATTCCGTGGTGGTCAGTTTAAATTTATAGAGGGCATTATTAACATTTTTAATCTGTCGCTTATTATGCATATTTTTCAGCTCTTAATTACCAGCCCACCCCACTAAATGAATGAATATCAAATGGTTTTTCTTCTTATTTAACACAAGTTTAATTGGTTGATTGTTTGTTGCTAATTATTAACGCCCAGTGACAAATATGTCATGCATGTTCAGGACTCGGTTCAAAACACGAGTTTAAAAGTCAGGTAAATAAATAAAAACGAAGAAATGTATTATTGCTAATGAGGCAACTATCCACCGGAGTTCAAATATGAAGTGGATGTAAGCAATTATAGACAACCGTAATTAAGGCCTTCAACAATGACAAAACCCGATACTGTCAAAAGGCCCGACGTGAAAAGTGTGCGAAACAATTCAAACGAGAAAACTTACGGCCTAATTATACATAACAAAATAATTTACAAAATATCAAATATGAGTCGAGACATGAACCAACGACAACAACTAAACTACAGGCTCCTGACTTGGGATAGACACACACAGAATATGGCAGGGTTGATATAAAAACGAAGATTGCCAATGAGACAACCCTCCAGAAGAGACAAAATGACACAGCAATTACCATTATAGGTCACCGTACGGCATTCAACAATAAGCAAAGCCCATACCGCATAGTCAGCTATAAAAGGCCCCGAAATCACAAATGTAAAACAATTCAAACGAGAAAACTAACGGTCTAATTAATGTACAAAAAAAAATGAACGAAAAACAAATATGTAACACAGCAAAAAACGACAACCACTGAATTACATTTGACTTTGACTTTGGACAGAGCATACATACAGAATGTGGCGGGGTTAAACATGTTAGCGGGATCCGGCCCAACCAGCCCCCTAACCTGGGACAGTGGTGTAACAGTACAATATCATGTTTGTGAGCGCTTAACCCTCCCCGAGGCTGGGACAGTGGTGTAACAGAACAAAATTAGAACAACCTGCACAAATCAATTGCAATTAGATTAACTCAAAAGATCGGTACGAGACACACAAAAAAAAACTTACATTAAGACAATAGACACAAAGCACCGAAATAAGGGTATTTGCAATTACTGGAAGTTTGCTCAAAGCTAATTACAACTATAGTACTGAAATAAATCTTGTTCTCCAAGACTGAAGTATCAATCAGTACACAACCAACGGATTTATTAAAAAAAAAAGAAGAAAAAACAGTCTGAGAAATGTCTGGTATACATTGTATATATATACTTGCATATAGATCCATATACAATGAAAATTTTTGAAAAGTGGTGGTCCGAAGGTTTTGACCATCGAAATTATGCAATAGAAATAATAGTTAGGACCAGAAGATTTTCTTCAAGGACCACCAGAGAAAAATGATTTTGAGAACTTTCCGATATCTTTGCTTTATACAAAAATAATCCAGTTTGGTTACTTTAAAAAAATTGAATAGACAAGATGTCCTTTTTGATCATATTCAAGACAAACATTGACGAATTTTTGTGCAGTTTAAGATTATTCTTAAAAATCAAATAGTGGGGGTTTACGCCTGATTTGTCTAGCAAAATTGAGTTAGAGGAAAGAACAAAGAAACATGTCACGAACAGAGCACACTTTTACAGTCATGTCTACCGGACGTATCTTAATTTTCTATAAAATCATCGTAAACTTCATTTAATATGTCATCCAACATAACAAAAATCTGCTATATTCGACGGCAAATTGAATTTTTGTTTTATTGATCTTCCGTAGAATATCTCCAGGTTATCTCCAGATTCATTTTTTTGGACTCTTCACCAGAAGACATTCTGGAGATGTGCAGAATAGACCAATAAAACACGCCCCAGGACGATTAAGAGTTTTTGTATAGTAAAGACAGGTCAATATTAACAACCTCATGTTGCTCCTAGATGTCTTCAGTTTAAATGCTTCCTCATTGGTGTATAACTCACACTTTCGTGTATTAATAGGAAGCCAACAGATTAAATCAGTAGTGCAAACAATTATCTTTTTTACCAAGTCTGCATATACTACATGTAGTTATTATTCCTAAAATAACAAGTTTTGTCTTCTCTTCGGATAATGCCTGTTCCAAATCAGGAATATGGCATTTGTTTTCGTTTTTTTTCCATTGGATGATATAGTTAACTTTTAATTTTGTCAGTTTTAATGGAATGCCTCCTTTTTTAATTTACCTTAGAGTTCTGTACTTTTGATGATACTTTTGTTATTGTAATGCACGTTAACACGCATTTTTTTAATCAGACTAATTACTGTAAACCAACTTATTTTCGCGGATACTTTGTTTCGCATTTAGCCCTTTCTAGTGATTTGATTTCGCGATTTTCAAATATATTTGATGTAGTTAAATAGGAAAGATCTAAGTTTTACGTACTCGCGGCGATTTATATTCGCGATATTTTTCTTCTCGCGAAAGTCGCAAAAATTAGTTTACAGTATTTGAAAATGTATTGAAGCTTTAATAAAAAATTGCAAAAATTAAATAGGAATTATTCGTCGAATATAAGTAATTTAGACATAGCTAAGGTAGGGTGTGTTTTATTAACTTTGTCCAATTCTTGCCGTTTAATTTAAGACAACTATTTCTGAACAAGTTGTTAGTATTCACTTATGCAAACGATGTCAGTCTTTTCTCTCTCGATTAAACAAGTTCTTACAAACAATAAATGTTCATAATTAACAATTACTGGACAGCCTATAGGAAATTAAAGTGATTTATGTACATGTTGGATGACATTAGTATTTCTTTGAACAGGTCATACAGGTCCAAACTTTTCTACTTGTATAAAGAAACTTTGCTTTTAAAAATTTGGGTTTGTGTGTTTCTTACGAAAATAAATTCAGAAAAGTGCTTCGGGCGAAAGAAATATAAGAAGAGATTTTCATTAAATGAATGTGTTTTTTTTTTTGCACAACCACAACTTTTTTCCGACTATGTTTGTTTGTGTTTGTGTTTGTGTCTTTGGGTTTATTCTTGTATGAGTTTATAATTTAACGTTTACGAAGTCTTCTACACACACATCGGTTATTTATTTGTATGCCTCGATCACCCAGTCGCCCTGGCATATAGTGTTACCCATGTTCGTCGTTCCGGAATTCAACAATATCATAATACCTGTAGATAATCAGCTGATTCGTGTTTTGGAAGTATATACGGATTATTCATTTATCAAAATACTTCTTTTTTATTTTTAAGGAAAATCAGTTCGTAAACTTCATAAATTTCATGAAAATTGCAATTGGCAGAGGGTGGGGTATTCGCGAATACCAAAAAGGAAGAAACCTTATACGTCTTGTTCCTATCCCTTATTTCAGTTCAGACAGATCCTTTGACTTTATAGAAAACGAAAGATCTAATACTAAGAACAATTAATCAAACGAAAACGTTCTGTCATTGCAATACTGATCCTTCAGTCTGCAAAATTTCAAAAAGATCACTGATCCTTCAGTCTGCAAAAATTGGAAAAAGATCACTGATCCTTCAGTCTACAAAAATTGCAAAAAGATCACTGATCCTTCAGTCTTCAAAAATTGCAAAAAGATCAACAGTCAAACACTAAGTAGTTTTACTCTGTCCACGCTCTCGGTAGCACTCTGTAAGGAATTCATGCGATTCACTCGGGTTTCTTTATTTTAGTTTCTAATTTAAAATAATAAATTAACTGGTTCTTGACATCTGTATTCTACCGGAACAATTATAACTTATTGTATGCAATTTATCTGTCTTATCTGTGAGAAACGGTCATTGATTAATATGAACTTTTCATTTGTGATGTTGCTCTTCGTTTTGCATCATCGACTACAGTTTATACGACAAGATATTACTGGTACATCTGTCTCCTTATAACAAATTCCATTAATTTAGTTATTATTTTACACGCCGATCGAATTAGATATAATTAATGCGATTTTGTGTTTGTCTTACATCTTTAAAAATAATTCCAATGATGATGTAATATTCTAATACATTTATAAAGACTTCCATATACTGCAGTTCTACTAAGTGTTTAAATTAATAACTAAATTTTGTAGTGTAATTTGTAATATAAAAATAAGGAGATGTGGTGTGATTGCCAATGAGACAGCTATCCACCAAAGTTCAAATAAAGTGGGTGTAAGCAATTATAGGCAACCGTACGGTAACACTGGTAGTTTTCATTTTCATTTGATACATTTATGAAAAAAAGAGAGGCAAAATATACCAAAGGGAAATTCAAACTCATAAGTCAGAAATAACTGAAAACGCCATGGCTAAAAAAGAAAAAGAAAAAAAAAGACAAACAACAGTACACAAAACACAACATAGCAAAAGACTGAGCAACACGAACCCAACCAAAAACTGCGGGTGATCTCAGGTGCTCCATAAGGGTGAGCAGATTCTGATCCATATGTTGCACCCGCCTTATAATTCATTTTAGGGTTGACTGGTATTTGATAAATCGCCCTCAGTGTGTATTCCATCTTGTAAACTGAATATTTACTGTTTTGTTTTCAATCAAAAGGTAAAAATAACACTGTATATGTTTGGTGCGTCTGAGCCGTTTTGTGAATTGGTGTACCGCAAAGAGACCACTCAGACCCAAAAGTTTGAAAGTCCAATTGATCATAAATATATATTTGTGGGATATTTACATCGGTTTACTAGTGTTCCATTAAGATTATCTTTCAACCATTAGAGTGTCTCCCCTATTTACTTAAATAATGAAGGGGTAAAAATGCAATGACAAATGATGTGCATAGTATAAAATCAACAAATGTAATGTCTAAATGTGATTTTTCAATGTAATACATTAGACAACACTAATAATTTGATCGAATGTATTATTAACATTTGTTTCGTTCCCAAGTGTACTAGAGTACACGTGTCTAGTTGACCTTTACGACTTGCTACGAAATGTGTTTAAAATGGTTTATTGTTATACATGGTCGAGTTATTAATGCCATTTGTTCCTACATATTACAGTTTTAACAAGGTAAATAGATCCATGTCAATTGATATCAAGAATAAAAAAAAAACTAACAATAATATATGCTTTATTATTTTATTTTACAGCTTTCAGAAGATTCAGAGCAATACCCCGAAGAACAGCAAGTATGTTTTCAATGCTATTATTCACAATAAACTTACTTGATTGGTCTTTTTCAATGTTTATCTTTGAAAATGTTATAAGTGTTCTTGTAATTATTATTTCCTAGTCAAAGAAATTTCAGTTTTTAAACGTTTGACCAGTGAAGCCCAAAAGGTCTTAAAGATTTTAACATCGGTAAACTATTGTCGCTTTACTTTAAAAACAGAAAGTAGAGCGAATCATATTGGTTATACTTACAATCGCTGCCGACCATCAATTAATTTTCAAATGTGTTATCGGGATATTGTTCCATGTAAGTATTCTATATTTGTATATATTTACTCATTTGAAATATTTATTACGAAAAAATCATCAATATTATCGTCTAATCAATCGTAACATAGACAAAATGACCTATAGATAATAACTAGGAAATGTTGTTCCATTGGTTTAAAATTTGACCTTGTTATTCATTACAGATAGATATATTCAAAGTAGAAGAACATCCTCATCGTCGTTACGTAAGTACATTCTATGTTTGTATGTTTCAAAAATATACATAGATAGGATGACAAAATTGTGATATGCAGGCATAATTTGCGTTTTAAACTTCCTGCTTGACATTAACGTCAGTCCTGGTGATTATATCAATTGACAAGTAGAAATTCCAATGGGTGCTTCTGCGAATCTGCATAAATAAGATATTAAACATAATAGATTTTATAAATGAAATAATATTACCCTGACTGGTATTAAGTTATGACTAAGCAGAAATTGTTAATTCTACAGTGAAATGTTTTACAACTATAATAAAGAGGGAACGACGAGTGGCTTTCCTATAGTGTAAATAAAAATAATAATTTGTAAACAATATGCGTACGAAGCGCTGTTTAGGATTAAGCTTCATTTAACATATCAATCAAACATGCAGTCGAACATTGGTGAATTAAACAATAAACGTCCTGCTCGTTTCTTATTTTTATTCTTCCGATTCTTTTTTGTTCATTGAACAGTAATATATTCATTGTCCATATGTTCAATTCATCTATTTTGTAAGTGGTAATGATATAAGGGGAATTTTAATGTAAATATCGTTGTTAACAACAAACATCAGAATCTGGTTATAATTATCATACATTGATTGAAAAAATTCATCAACGATAACAAACGTATATTTCGGAACCCACGACGCACGTTTCGTCTACATCAAATTCACCAGTGGCGCTATATTATCAAACAGGTGTGAGGAAAATCAAGTACGGAGAGCATAGAAAACCAAAATAATCGAAAAGTTGTGCCATATACGGCTTATTAAATGGTAGAAAAACATTAGCGTTTCGAATAATCTAAAATTTCATCTCATATCACAACCATGTGTAGCTTTTAATTCTTTAAAAATTATTTATGACCTATTGACAGCCTCTTTATTTAATTTTAAAATATGAACATATCCCGTGTCCTTGTTACTTATTTGACTATTTCTGTATGTTTCGGATACATATTATATAACTTATTTCTGGAAAAAGGACATGTTTTTTAAGGATCTTCTTTATGTCACATTATGTTTTTAAATTTAGACTCAACGTTGGAGAATAGGTGTGTGTTATTTATTATTGCATATATTGTGAATGTTTTTAACCGATTCCGATTAACATTAAGAAAAACACAACAAAGAAAAATCTACATTACGATCTCTCTGACCATATTTGCATTTAAAATAAATTATTCTGTCTAAGATGTATTGTAATGTAATGCCTTATTATACTTCCTTATTCATGTTTGTATGTATGTTCGTATGTATGTTTGTATTTTATTTCCTCATCCATGTCCTTAACAATTCAATAACAGTGATAGCAACCAGCCTCCGCTGTTTAATACGCTTCTTCGTTGCGGTTTTGATACACTACTTTTCCGTGGTATGTTTCTATATTCTCGACATTTATATACACGACAATGCGCCTCCTTATTGAAAACTATACTCTTAATCTCGGTAGTTAATATTTCCAGCTTCTAGTTTAAAATTAAGAATACTGCAGAAGGTCTGCTATGTTTGTTGATCTGTAGAGTTCGTCGTTCTAGAATCACAAGAACTAAGGGTAAAATCGTTGGGCGTACACCGAACTGATATTAACGTGTCAACAATTGTTGGATTTCCATTGTTTTTTTTACCAATCACAACGTTTTGGTTTCTGCTTATTAAAATGTTATCAATCCTCAGATGTATACCCACCTGGTAGGATCAATCACAAACACGAATCTGTGTCTGAACTTATCCAATATATGTTTAATAACGATTGTACATGTCTAGTATTGGTCGTGTCGGCTACAAATCGGTTGTCACATGTCCTTGGTCTTGACGACAATTTCTTTGCACGAGTTTGAAATTCTTTAAATGCGGATTATGAGAATTGAAGTTTTACAATCTTCTTTTAACAATTGTTAACCTGTGGTATATGTATGTATACTATAAAAATAAGCGTTTCATGGTCCAGTAGTCGTCGTCGGTCGTTCCTACTTCCTCCCAAAAATAAAAGTGACATGCGTAAAGGTGAAATAATTGAATTATTATTTATCTATAATTCTATTTCATACAGTAGGAGGTTATTCACCCTTTCCACAATTTGGTAAGCTAGCATTTTTCTTATAGCTTAATAGCAATCATATATATTTAGCTTTTCATTGATATGTTGGCTTTTTAGCTAATTATTTTTATGCAAAGAACTGTATTTTTTTCTTAATATATAATTGTTACAGATCAAAGTTGTATGAAGCACTAAACGAATCTTTGTTGAAAAACTATTTTTTTGCATAATAATCATATTTCCTGTTTTCTAAAATATTTGAATTTCAAATTGATCTTTATGCAATTCACTAGCATCTTGCATTTTGATGATATTTTTTAATTCGTGTTAGATTTAGACCTTTTCTCTCAACCAGTTGGTAAGCTTTATCATTAGTATAGCATCCATTTAAACTTTCCTTCAAAATGTATAGAGTAGTTTTTTTCTTAACCCGAATAATGCAGTCCTTCCCCGTGATCGACACTCCGACACGCGAGTTAAATGTAGCCATCAAAGAGCAGAGGACTATTACGACTGAATTATTCGGGTTATCTAATTCTAATCTAAATATAAATCTGTAAACTACTCTTTTTTCCAATATGTTATCTCTTCAAAATGGCTGTAGTGCTTGCATGCGTACCTTTTTTGTCATCATTCTTACTTTTAAACAACGCTATAGCTAGCTAGTATTTTCTTGTATTCAATACTGAGTTTATATAGCATGTGTTTTGAGTTTATTATTTATAGAAAAGTCAAGAATAAACCGTACCAATCAGGTTAACGGATAATATGTATTCTGGACAAGATACATATCTTGTCTTGTGTTATAATTCTTCTATACGACTATAAATACAACATTTTATACATAGTTTCCAACGGTTAAAATATTTATACCATGTAGAGCATGATAATTAATACATGACTGAAAGTAGATGTGGAGTAAACGTCAATGAGACAACAAATCAACGACACAAAAGACAAAATACATCAAAAATATAAAAATAAGGAACGATTGCCAGTGAGACAACTATCCACCAAAGTTCAAATTTCAACATACGGTTTTCAATAATAGTTAAAGAATTCAAAAACACGTTTGTTACTTTTATGCGTTAGAAGCGCTTTTCATAAAGAGCACTCTAAGCCATACAATTGGAAGTCCAGGATGTATGAGATCCCAAACATTAAAAGAGTGTTATCACCAAAAGAAATCTAAAATTGTTGATGAAGTGTCTTTACAATATATCAAGATTCTTAGTTAACAAAAAATCTTAAGACATTTAAACAGAAGTTGTCAAATATCTGCAATGATAACATTATTTCCTAGAGACGAAAAACATCAAAGATGGGCATAGTTAAAAAAGAATTGTTGAATAAGATTGCAAGTACTTGTTTTGTGTTATTTTGTTATGGGTTTTTTTTTTCATTTTTGAATACAACTCTTTATGCGATTATAGATTTACTTGAATTAACTGACTCTACATAATTTACCTGAAATGTATCATATCCCTTGCACATCATAATCCTTTGATTATCTTTTCTCTTAACAGGTAGATCACAACCAATAATTTTTGCTGGAGGTATGTATGTTCATACCGTAAAACGTTGTCATTGTTGTTGTTTATTTTGTAATTTTTTTTGGAGGGGGGTTATCACATAACATATCAAGATGTCTATGGTTACGCTAATGTTAACAGAATTATACCCAAAAAAACACAATTCTTAGAGCTTTATTATTATTAGTATAAAAAATAAAGGATAAGTGACGAAGTACAATAACATCTTCGACTATGTCGATTAATTCACACTTACGAAAAAATCGGTAACGTTTATGTTATTACGAAATAAGCTCAATTGTTTTTAATGTTCAATTTTTTATAATGAAGAAAATGGTTGCAGGATAAATGTCAAGGAGATAGTAAAGGCACAATGAAAAAGTCAGGACACTTTTCAAGTCTGTTCCTAAATTCATAGTACACTTTACAACCCAGGCAATTTTAGAGAAAACAATTCAACAAAGTTAGATATATATATACGTATATGGGACATTGGAACATTCTCACGATTTTTTTTTTTTAAAAAGTCGACAGAAGAACCCCACCATTGTCGATACCTTCCCTCGTTCTCTTTCCCTCTTGAATTTTTAATAACATGTTTTTTTTTTTATTATTTTAGATGCACCAGATATGCCTGATGTTTGTAAGTAGTGTTTAATATTATTTTGGAAAATTTTTTTTTATTCAAAACAGGTTTTGCGTCGGGGGTTTGCGTCGTTTGTTGGAGGAAATTTTGTTTGGTCGAAATTTACCGAAATAGATCACATAAACATATCACTACTACGATAGGGATAATAGACGGGTTTCTCTACTGACCATCAGGAACATCGGGTACTCAAGATTCCCTGATGAATACAATTGATCGCTCTGATAATGTATAAATGTATACACAAAATAAAACAATTAAAAAACATTTAGCTGTTAAACTGGTAAGAAAATACCAGAGCATACAAAGGCACACGCAAAGCATACAGGCGCAATTCCCACCATAAGCCGGGTATTACCTAAGTAACAGCAAGGTGAGAAATTCCTGCTTCGCTTATACAGACCAACTCTTATAAAACTTTGGATTTTTCTAGATACTAAGGATGTTCTACCCCATGAATAGATTACCTGATTACCTTAACTGTTTTTGACAAAACCTTTCAGACTTTTTGGTCGTCATTCCTCTTCAATTTCGTATTTTATTTGGCCTTTTTAACTTTTTGGATTCGAGCGTCACTGGTGAGTCTTTTGTAGACGAAACGCGCGTCTTGCGTAAACAATTTTAATTCTGGTATTTATGATGAGTTTATCTATATGTATTTATGATATTATAATGATTGTGCTGCGTCATGAAAATTCTTTTCTTTTTTTCTTAGTTTTGTTGCCTTCTTGATAACATATTGTTTTATGATTTTTTTTTTCTTATCTCTTTCAGATAATCCATATGAGCATTTATGTATGTATTATTTTACTTTTATTTGTGAAATATTGAAAATGTTATATATTGCGACTATAAAAGTGTTTTGGTTCTTGAAGAAAAACATATAATTTAATGTTTTGCAATGCCACAGAGACTGACATATAACAAGTATAAAACGAAGATGTAATTGTGTTTTTTTTTTATATTGTTATTAAGTATACAGTAGCTATTCGTCATCACAAAGTCACAGTGAGATCTTCAACATGGAGAAAAACAAGCCTCTGTTTGTTATGGAAATACTGTATTCGAGGGATACCAATTTTTTTTAATTTCATGGATACAGATGAACAACGAATTTTAATGTTCAACAAATCACAAAATGTTCTGTATGCTTGTATGCAGAATTTGGCAAAAACACGAGAATGAAAAGTTTTCCTCGATCCACGTAAATTGGAACTCAGTAAAATAAATGCATCCACAGTAAAAAGCCAATGTAAGATTTTATAAATCATTTGTTTCAACAAACCTATCAAAAGTAAAACGACAACAATGGGCCAATAAAAAGCAATAAGTCTAGACCGACAACTCTACTACCAAACATACGACGAAAAGACAATTGACAGTCAAATGAACAAAAACATCGAAAACATAATTTTGAACACTATCAAACGTGTAAAATATTGGGGAGAAGTCAGATGTTCCTAAAGGGACAGAAGTTATGTTCCACTAATGACATTGATCATTTTACCCCCTCAAAAAAATCCGTGTAAAAATATATCTGATGAACAGGCACTGCATAATAACAAATTGGTAAATGCATTTTATATAACCATATGTTGTTTCCGATAGTAAACCACGGAATTTTGTAAATTCGTCAACCCTTACTCTTGTCTGAGAATGAACATTTGAAATAAAGATACCCTATTGCAGGACAATGTTTTGAAATCATACACAACAATTTCAGAATATCATGAAGTTGTTAGATATAAGGTGTTTTCAGTAACCAATGTTTAATAAAGTCCTCTAGCAGTTATATTTATCAGATAGTTAACAATTAATATAATAAAAAGTTTATTGAACTTTAATTTTATCTTCATATCTTTGTGCATCTTATTTTACGACGGTATTAGCCATCTGTCCACTTATTAGTCTCGCGTAAAGGGCACTTTGTTTATCAGTCTTAACATGCATTAATTAACATGCATTAATTAATCTATTGCAGCTGATATTGACGGTGGTGAGTACAGATCAAATATTTTTTTTTTATTCATGTTTGATTAATTGTTATCTGTTTTAATAAATGTTGTCTACAGTGTAAGATAATTTATTTATTCATTAATTAATTTAAATTATATTTCAAAGTTTTAGATTCAAGTTATAAAGGCATTACTCAACTTGTTTAATTAAGAATAATTTCATGAAAACGAGCTTGGGAGACAAAATACATTTTTGAATGTTGCGAATAATGTGACTTAAAATTGAAACTATTTCTTTTCAAAATCCCGATACGTATTTTTTATTATTTTTTATTTTATTCTCATTTGTACTACTCTAAAAAAAGTTGAACAGTTAAGCTAAATATTATATTTTACTTTATTTTCAGTAGGGTACATGCATCCGGGATACTGTAAGTATATAATTTATCTATTTACTGTCGTAACGTAATTTATATATAATAAGATTTTTGTTGATAAAAATGAAATCAGGTATCAAGGGAAAAATCAAAAACCATGTGTTGGTAAGAGACATACACCACCATGATAAAACACATACACCATCATGGTAAAAGACATACACCACCATGGTAAAAGACATACACCACCATGGTAAATCACATACACCATCATGGTAAAAGACATACACCACCATGGTAAATCACATACACCATCATGGTAAAAGACATACACCACCATGGTAAAAGACATACACCACCATGATAAAAGACATACACCATCATGGGAAAAGACATACACCACCATGGTAAAAGACATACACCACCATGATAAAACACATACACCATCATGGTAAAAGACATACACCACCATGGTAAAAGACATACACCACCATGGTAAAAGACATACACAACCATGGTAAAAGACATACACCACAATGGTAAAAGACATGCACCACCATGATAAAACACATACACCATCATGGTAAAAGACATACACCACCATGGTAAAAGACATACACCACCATGGTAAAAGACATACACCACAATGGTAAAAGACATACACCACCATGATAAAACACATACACCATCATGGTAAAAGACAAACACCATCATGGTAAAAGACATACACCACCATGGTAAAAGACATACACTACCATGCGTTAGTAAAAGACATACACCACCATTACCAATGGCGAACAGACAATTAACATTCGAAAAACATTTCACTAAAAAGAAAGAGTAAGAAACAACACACATCCGACCAAGCACTAAAGGGTGAACTCATGTGCTCGAGAAAAACCAGCAGTTATTGTATTATTATTTTTCTTGAACGAAGAATGGATACCATGTATGAATTAATCACACAATATCCCAATATGCACATGAAAAAATAATCATAGAAATATGAACGTCGTTCAAAATCATACGACTTTCAACATAAAACAAAGCCAAGGCTCGTTTTAATGACCTATTGTCAGTAAGCGAAGAAGATAGAAATCAAACGTTAGTGACTAAATGCTATCTAGTTGGGAAAAAAATCATCACAAAGATTGAACACATGTTGCAGATTATGATAAGGAGAGAGAGAGAGAGAAAGAAGTATCAGAGTTAGAAATTGTATTCTGATTCCGTTTATAATGATTGCAAAGTGTCCCAGGCCAATTTATGCATCACGAAAGATAAGCTCATTAAAGTGCAATCTAACGGTAGGTTTTAACGGTTCTTTAATCTGTTGCCAAACTTGGCTGATTATTTTTGTTTGCACAATCAATAAGCTGTGGCCAGAATGAAACTCTTTGTAAACCATTTATTATTATGGAGTTTGAGTAAAATAATGATTTTTCTTTCAGTGGGTGGTGGATACAGAGCCATTCGACCAGTTTGTAAGTATATCATTATAATGTCAGCATGGTCTACCGCAAATTGTATACTTTTATATTTGCCTCAGTATGTTATTTCTTCTTAGAACTGTTATATAAGGGGGTCTTATAGCGATCAAAGATTGCTCTATTAAAGAAGTATTGCTAAAAGCGTCAAGGATTGGAACCATAAGTTGTGTATAATAGAAAATTTCTTAAACTATCTTGAATATACGTTAACTTGAATGCACATTTTCCTACAATTACCAAATAAAGTTTTGTCTATTGTTGCCCAAACTCGTTATAGCCAAAAAAATCATGTAGCATTACAATATCCATTGATATTCAGTTAAGTTAGATAAATATATCATATCAAGAAAGGTATTTGCGAAAAAATACAAGTCTGGAGAAGAAATTCGCCTGCCCTGTCATCTCAAGTTATTTTACACTCCCTCAACTGACATTTTTGAAAACAGCCCATATCATCCTGACTAGTCGTTAACTATTCACAATATGCCTGTTTCTGACCAAATATGGGAAACCGTGTTGAATAAGTAAAATGATGAGCAATTAGCAAAATTAATTATACTAAAATAGTTTAGATGATATATAAATGTTGGAATGCGCATCGGGTGCAATAAAACTGGTACCGTTTATGTTATAACTATCACTGGGTCTATGCCTGTGCTGGTGGATGTTATTCCCCGATGGTAACACCAGCCCAGTAGCCAATGCTTTGGTGCTGACATGAAAATACGGATATTTTTTACTGATTGAAATTTTGGATTTATTGTATATTATGGAATATATCTCCCTCAAGCAAAGCTTTGATTCCGTGACCTGATGTGGCTACACTTTATATCCTTTTTGGGTTTATCAGCTCTTCAAGGTTTGTATTAGGTTACGGAAAGTCAAATATTTTGACTTTGATCATCACTGAATAGACATTGGTTGTCGAAATGCTCATCTGGTGCAATAAAGCTCGTACCGTTTATATTATTAAACATGTATTTCATCGTTTTGTTTCAGATATGCCTGATCCAGACAACTGTAAGTTATAATATTACGGTGATAACCAGAAATTAATAATGTTTAGATTATACTTAATTTATTAGAGATGATTGAAGGGGGATAATTGGTTTACCCAAATAAACAGAAACCCAAGCACATATTAAACAATGTTAAAACCAGGAAAAATCATCTAAATCTCTATTTTTAACTAGTAAATGTTATTGAGCAGTAAGAACAAGACATGCTATAAACTGTAAGAAAGTCAGAAATGATAATGAAGTTCCTTGTGGTTCTAATTTTATGACAGTTATCATCTTACTTTACTACACAAATGTAGATATGTCGAATTTTATTCATAGTCATTTGCCTAGTTAGTTATAAATGGTCATCATGTACATCAGCAGTATAGAAATTTATTCAAGGTAACTATTAAGGTCATATTGAATATAATTTAATTTTAGATGTAACACGTCTTCTGATTGGCTTAAAGTTTTTTGTCTATCAGCTCATAGACATAATTTTGTCACCGTGACGTCACCAACATTTTTCATGATTAATTCCTTAAAAACGGAATTTAGAATTAAAGTATAAGGACTGACTGTAATAGTTTTTCTGTCTATTCGAAATAACCTCAAAAATGTTATGCGGGTTATTCAGTCTGCACAACATGTTGATGTTATTTCTTGATCATGTTCATAGACAGAAAAAATATTACAGTTATTTCTAAATAAATCAAATCATATAATCAAGATACAACATGACTGACCATAAATTTTTTTTTCAGATGGATACATAGTAGGATAATCATTAGAACAGTTCAGGTAAATATAACATGCGAAATGTTTTTATATTTTACTGTTGTCGAAATATTTCTTTATTTCATTTAAGTAACCTATATGACACCGCTGTCCTTTCTTACAGAATTCTACAATCAAAAATAAACAGAGTAACAATAATAATCAAAGGATAAATAATTCGTGTATCCTGTTTCTGTTTTGCTGTTTTTCTTGTCTGCGTGATCGTTATACACTCAGATTAGTAGATCCTGCTTCACCTTCATAGTGATCGTTATACACTCAGATTAGTAGATCCTGCTTCACCTTCATTAAGATCTTTACACACTCAGATTAGTAGATCCCGCTTCACTTTCATTGTGATCGTAATACACTCAGATTAGTAGATCCCGCTTCACCTTCATTGTGATCGTTATACACTCAGATTAGTAGATCCCGCTTCACCTTCATTGTGATCGTTATACACTCAGATGAGTGGATCCCGCTTCACCTTCATTGTGATCGTTATACACTCAGATTAGTAGATCCCGTTTCACCTTCATTGTGACCGTTATACACTTAGATTAGAAGAACCCGCTTCACCTTCATTGAGATCGTTATACACTCAGATTAGTAGATCCCGCTTCACTTTCATTGTGATCGTAATACACTCAGATTAGTAGATCCCACTTCACCTTCATTAAGATCTTTACACACTCAGATTAGTAGATCCCGCTTCACTTTCATTGTGATCGTAATACACTCAGATTAGTAGATCCCGCTTCACCTTCATTGTGATCGTTATACACTCAGATTAGTAGATCCCGCTTCACCTTCATTGTGATCGTTATACACTCAGATTAGTGGATCCCGCTTCACCTTCATTGTGATCGTTATACACTCAGATTAGTAGATCCCGTTTCACCTTCATTGTGACCGTTATACACTTAGATTAGAAGAACCCGCTTCACCTTCATTGAGATCGTTATACACTCAGATAGGGAGATCCCACTTCACCTTCATTGTGATCGTTAAACACTCAGATAGGGAGATCCCGCTTCACCTTCATTGAGATCGTTATACACTCAGATAGGGAGATCCCACTTCACCTTCATTGAGATCGTTATACACTCAGATAGGGAGATCCCACTTCACCTTCATTGAGATCGTTATACACTCAGATAGGGAGATCCCACTTCACCTTCATTGTGATCGTTATACACTCAGATAGGGAGATCCCGCTTCACCTTTATTGTGATCGTTATACACTTAGATTAGAAGATCCCGCTTCACTTTCATTGTGATCGTTATACACTCAGATAGGGAGATCCCGCTTCACCTTCATTGTGATCGTTATACACTCAGATAGGGAGATCCTGCTTCACCTTCATTGTGATCGTTATACACTCAGATAGGGAGATCCCGCTTCACCTTCATTGTGATCGTTATACACTCAGATAGGGAGATCCCGCTTCACCTTCATTGTGATCGTTATACACTCAGATAGGGAGATCCCGCTTCATCTTCATTTTGTGACAGCCTGGTGTTACTAAGAGTATACACTCAGATTAGTAGATCCCGCTTTATCTTCATTTTGTGACAGCCTGGTGTTACTAAGAGTTATTCAAACTGTAATTAGTCCACTTGCAAAGAACTACAATAACCGTGATACGATATAACATTAAAACAAAATAGTATATTAAAAAATATCCTGTTCACTTGATTTCAACCACGATCGTGGTGGGGTTTGGTTATTCCCATGGTTTTTTCTGCTTTTCTTATCACGACAAGAGCACCACAAAATATGCAGTTTTAACAGATACATTTTTATGGTCTTGTGTGTGCTCATTTTTATCTGTTTACATATTAAATTGTTGTCTTCTTTCCTTTTCTGAGAAACATGGGTTTACTGTACCAGGTTTCTATTTTTAGTTTTTTATAGTAGCATGCAAATTTAAAAGTATTAGCGTATGACAAATAATTTTAGACTATTAATACATATTTTTATATTCTATTCGAGTTGTAAATGATGTAGTTTTTTTTAATTTATTACGTAACGAGCACTGAGTCGATACCACTGATGGTGAACTGTTAGTCCTCGAAGAGTATCATCTAGATATTAAGTGCGTCGATTAAGTGCGTCGGTTATGATGTGATTTTAAACAAACATCTCTTAAATTTTCCGAGGCAAAGTTGATTGTAGCTGAGTGGGCTGTCTGTTTATGGCTCCTTTGTGTCATTCATCATCTATTTACGTGTTTAGTTCTTATTATGTAGGTTTGATCGTTCTTGATGAAGGAAAATTCAGGAAATCGCTTCGGTCGCACAACATTTATAATGTGTTACTTTCATACACTGTTACATTGTTATTATTTTATCATATTTTCGGTTAAAATTGAAATGAAAGTAAAGTCTTTTGCTATTTTTAACTTTTTTTATTTTAATCTATTGTAGAGAAGAAGACCACAACAAGAAGCTACAAACAACAATGACTCACTATACAATGTTAGAAAAATGTAAATTATTATTATTGTTTCCCAGTCCATAAGTTATTTGATACTTAATACTAGTGTATTTGTCTTGTTTAATTTACATAATAATAAGTCCAATGTATTAATGTGTTATTTTTGTTTTTGTTTTATCCAATTCTACGATGGGATAATTCGGGTTTTAAGGTACGTGTAGTTTCCTAACAGAATTGATTTCGGAAAATTTGTAATCATGTCTGCGCTTTTGTAAACGCTTTCAAGTCAAATACGGTAAATGTGTTGCAATAGCCTGGATTCAAATCTCGCCTGCATATACATTTGTATCTCTCACTTTATACTTTATTCTTTCCTATCATGATTTACCTTACATGTACACACGGTTGATGAAAGCTATTGATTGATTGATTGATTGTTGGTTGCTTAACGTCCAGTGTTTATTTCATGCATGTTCAGGACGACGCAAAACTATTTGACCAGGTGTTTTAAATGGTAAAATTTAATTAATGTCTGCAAAAGATTAGAAGTGCCATTATAATTTAGGTGACTGTTATGGAATATTCATATCACCTAGCAAAATAAAGGTCATTCATTTTACGTTTATGATATCACCGAAGGTGTCATACTCGACACGACGGGCACTAATTTTGAAACACAGAATACATATCACCTTTCTGTTCAGGAACATGTTTTATCCTCCTTCGATTCGAAAGTTTTAAACTTGATTTATTTCGGCGGTCGAAAATGTCATCATCAACGATACTCACACAACTGATGCTGTAATATTTTTCTTCGTATTTATCGTAAAATCATATGAAAATATATATTGAAGTATTTTAAACTTTCCAAGTCATTTGACATTAAGAACATATAGGAATGGATAATAGTAGTTGAGGGATATACATCAATGAAACAGCAACAAAGCGCACAAAGGTATTTAGAGTTCAACAATCAAACAATATACAGTAATAACTATGTACAACTCTAAAAACCCCGAACCTAGAAAGGTTAAAATTGAAATCTGTCATCAACAATCAATTGTTTGATATCACGAACTGGTTGACTGTTATGGAATATTCGTTTCACAGATGATAGCGGATATTTTCCAATCAACACTATAATTGTTTGATATCACGAGTTGGCTGACAGATATGGAATATCCGTTGCAAAGATGATAGCGGATATTTTCCAAATGTCGTAACTACAATCCCGTCCCCTTTTCCCGAATGTGACCTACCGAATTAGACTTATTGCCGGGTTTGTACTAACATGAGCAACACGACGGGTGAAACATGTGGAGCAGGATCTGTTTACCCTTCCGGAGCACCTGAGACGACCCCTAGTTTTTGGTTGGGTTCGTGTTGCTCAGTCTTTAATTTTCTATGCTGTGTTTTGTGTACTATTGTTTGTCTGTTGGTCTTTTTCTTTTTTAGCCATGGCTTTGTCAGTTTGTTTCCGACTTATGAGTTTGAATGTCCCTTTGGTATCTTTTGCCTCTCTTAAAATGTTAAATAGTTAAACACTGTCTAAATATGCCGTTTTGTGGATACCTTAATAGTATAGGTAGTATTTCGATACATATCTATTGTATGTTTGTTTGAATTGTTTAGTCAGTTGATTTGTATGTCTATAATATATGTTTACACAATTTTGGCTGCTGAATCGCAATTTTTGTACATTTTACTACTATAGAATTGAGAATGAAAACGGGGCTTGGAAAGCAAAACGTTATAAATGATGGAATAACAAGTAAAACTGTGAGCTACTGCTCACTGATGATACCCCCGCCGAAATATTTCGGTTATCAGCAAGTTGTTGAGTGATGAATCTGAAAACTCATCACACGGTATAGCTGACTTATAAATCCTTGTCAAGTAGTTCTTGAGAAAAATGTGACGAAAATTTTCAACTTGGCTATCATGTGTAAAATAATACAAGTGTTCGGTAAACAAGAAGTTGTTGAGTGGTGAACCTGAAAACGCATCACACGGTGTAACTTACTTATATAAACCCTGAAACCAAATTTCAGAAATCCTTGTCAAGTAGTTCCTGAGAAAAATGTGACACAAATGTTCAACATGGCTATCATGTGTAAAAAATACAAGTGTTCGGTAAACAGGAAGTTGTTGAGTGATGAATCTGTAAACGCATCACACGGTGTAACTTACTTATATAAACCCTGAAACCAAATTTCAGAAATCCTTGTCAAGTAGTTTTTGAGAAAAATGCGACGAAAATATTCATGGGACGGACGGACTGATGGATGGACTGACTTTTTTAAAGCGGGGGTATAAAAACTATATGACATTCATTTTTGAAGAAGAGCTTTAACCCTTCCTATCCTACTTTTATTGTATGATATTCGTTTTTTTTTTTATTATGCTTACGTTGAGTATTCGTTTTGATTTTTCTTCTTTTGACAAAATCATATGGATGTGCCTTCCATATGCAACTATATCCATATAAACACCACATTTGAAACATTAAGCACAGTTGATATTTGTTAATAGTTCTTTGTACTTTACGCCGTAAAAAGAGGCGGAAAATATAAAGACCATTAAAAAATTCATATTTCGGCAAAAAAAAAACGACGAAGAGACAAACAAATACACAAAACACTACATAAAATGAGCCTCAAGAACGCCACCAACACTTCAGGTGATTTCAGGTGATGCGACGACTGTGATCGGAGGTGTCTTTCGTCTAATATTCTGAAGAAAAACATTTGAAATAAATAAAAGGCATCAGTAGTTTATCGTTTTCAAATTTCCTAAATAAAATTTTTAATTTCCAAAATAGATAGAAAAAAAACTAAGCAAATAGCATGAACTTCAAACGAGATACTTGATGCGTCGACAGAATAAACTTCGTGTACTTTATTGTCTTGTGAATCCAATAAAACATCAAAGCCAAACGAGTTATAGATACTAGAAATTCCGACAATAATATTGGACACTATTAAACTGAATGTCACATGTTTTGAATAGTCATACAGGGATTGAGGGTTAGGAAAGAAAAAAAAAACAGTTTCTTTTATTTTCTTAAGTACATAATCACTATGTACATTTATACGGTCATTTGTTACATCGTATTGTGTATTCATTTGTATTTGCGGGATACCAATTTTCGTGGATTTCGTGAATAAAGATAAACCACGAATTCAAATGATCAACGAAGTACCAATTTCCATAGGCTGTATGCAGATTTTTGCAAACCAACGAAATCAAATATCGACGAAAATACGAGTTTTCCTCAATCCACGAAATTGATAACCACAACAATAAGTGAATCCGCAGTATAATCAACTTTATCTGTTTTATGTATTTTTTGTTTAAGCGATCCGACGATTTGTTATCGGAGTTATCTCTCTTCTGATAGGTAAGTGCAAAATAATCAAAAATCATACAAATTCAAGAAGTATTAGTTTTGACAAATGCCAAACCCGGCAAAAGCCTCTTCTGACAGTTTTTTCCCCTGCTTGTTAGCGCAACCCCTTCAAACTTAAGATTAACAAAATAAAACAATTCCACAAAAACATTTGAAAGTTGTTTCAACACAACTTGCAGTTGTTAAATAAAAGTGATTGCCCTTAAAATGTTTTAAGCATTGATTATAACTTCCTACATGTACATCATTTTTGAATGGAGACTTTTGTAAAGGAATTGGAGACACTTGACCTTAAAATTGTTTACATGAAGTGACTTTTTGAAGCATTAAATACTTATTTCATTACAATAGTCGTAATTAGAACAGTCTCTGCTTACTTTTCCTACGTGTCTAATTTAAGCCAGGTTTGTTGATGGATTTCATGTTTGTCACTCTTTAGCTATCTACTTTGATATATCTGAATCTATTCAATGACACCGACATTTATGAATACAATGAGATGATGTGTAAAAATCACTAAAAAAAACCACAAAAAACTTCTATTTTTCAACATACATTCAACATTGGAAAGGTGTCTTCACCATATGGCCAGCACTAAATCAAACTGACTATACAAGACAATAAGAATTGATTTAACAGAGGTTGAAAGATCAGCACCTATTTGTCAAAATAACGATACACATTAACACACATTTAAAATTCAACTGAAAATGTTCAAGAAGTGCACATGAACATCTTGCTGCGTTATTATTTTTAAAATGCTAGTGTTCTTGTTGTTTTTGTTCCTGTTATTGTTGATGTGTTGATGCTATTAGTAACTATTTTTTGTATTCTGGACTAAAATCAAACTAATCTCAAAAAACATGTTTAACCCCGCCGCATTTGTGCGCCTGTCCCAAGTCAGGAGCCTCTGGCCTTTGTTAGTCTCATATCTTTTTTAATTGTAGTTTCTTGTGTATAATTTGGAGTTTAGTATGGCGTCCATTATCACTGAACTAGTATACATATTTGTTTAGGGGCCAGCTGAAGGACGCCTCCGGGTGCGGGAGTTTCTCGCTGCATTGAAGACCCATTGGTGGCCTTCGGCTGTTATGGTCGGGTTGTTGTCTCTTTGACACATTCCCCATCTCCATTCTCAATTTTAATTTAAATTAAAGGGACTTTTTTTCAAATTCATCAAAAATACCAGCCATATGGTTGCCATCAAAATAGTTTAAGGCCAAATCAAATTAGACGTTGAATAGCATTTGAAACCAATAATTACGAAAAAATGTGCGAAATAAAACAAAGGCAGTTCATGTCATGGAGTAGAAAAACTTAAGTGTTTATAACAATTGTACCATTTATAAACGATATATTTACAGAGAATGCACATATTGATGACGTAGAAAAAGTAGATTTATTAATTCATTTAAAAAGTGAAGAAAAATATACGAAAGGGATATTCAAACTCATAAGCGGAAAACAAACTGGCAACGCCATGGCAAAAAAAAGAAGAACCAACAAAAGACAAACAACAGTAAACAAAAAACAACATAAGGGGCAATCTCAAGTGCACCAGAAGGGTGATCAGATCTACTCCACTAGTGACAGCCATCGTGTTGCTCGTGTAAGTACAAACCCGATGATAAGTCTTATTCGGTAGGTCTCATTTGATGAATAGAAGACGTGATTGTGGTTACGACATTTTAGATTATCATTGTAGATAAATCTGTCAAAGGTTATATCATGCCTTCGTCA